CGGGTCACCCGATGACACCGTGACGATAGTGTTGCCATCGTCTGGCTCACAGCGTCCCCGTCGTCCACACGCCCCCCGGCACTCGAAAGAAGTGAGTGGGAGGAAAGTAAAACTTGATGAGGTAATTGTACCTTCTCCCGAATTGGAAAATGGTTCATCATAGAAATCAATTCCATTGATGCCTACACCAATTATTAAGGAAGCTAATGATAATGATCATGAAACTTCAGATCAAGTTACTACCGAACCTCATAGGTTAACCAGAGCATGTTCCGCACCAGAGTGGTACGGTAATCATGTTTTGGAAGTCATGTTACTAGACCATGACAAAACTACAAACTATGAGGAAGCGATTATGAGCCCAGATTCCGATAAATGGCTTGAGGCCATGAAATCTGAGATATGATCCATGTATGAGAACAAAGTATGGACTTTACTTGACTTGCCCGATGATCGGCGAGCCATTGAGACTAAATGGATCTTCAAGAGGAAGATGGACACTAATAGGAGTGTTACTATCTACAAAGCTCGAATTGTCGCAAAAGGTTTTCGACAAGTTCAAGGTGTTGACTATGATGACATTTTCTCACTTGTATCGATGCTTAAAGTCTGTCCGAATCATGTTAGCAATTGCCGCATTTTATGGTGATGAAATTTGGAAAATGGATATCAAAACTGCATTCCTTAATGGATATCTTAAAGAAGAGTTGTATATGATGCAACCAAAAGTTTTTGTCGATCCTAAAGGTGCTAACAAAATGTGCAAGCCCCAGCGATTCATTTATGGACTAGTGCAAGCATCTCAGAGTAGGAATATACGCTTTGATAGTGTGATCAAAGCATATAGTTTTATACAGACTTTTGGAGAAGTATGTATTTACAAGAAAGTGAGTGGGAGCACTACATCCTTTCTGATAAGTATATGTGAAGGACATATTGTTGACCGGAAATGGTGTAGAATTTTCTGGAAAGCATAAAGGAGTATTTGAAAGGAGTTTTTCGAAAGAAAGACCTCGATAAGCTGCTCTCATATTGAGCATCAAGATCTATAGAGATAGGTCAAGACGCTTGAGAAGTTTTTTCAATGAGTACATACCTTGACAAGTTTTTGAAGTAGTTCAAAATGGAATAGTCAAAGAAGGAGTTGTGTTGCAAGGTGTAAAGTTGAGTAAAGACTCAAGACCCGACCACGGTAGAAAATAGAAAGAGAATGAAAAGTCATTCCCTATGCCTCAGTCATAGGTTCTATAAAATATGCTATGGTATGTACCAGACCTATTGTGTACCTCACCATGAGTTTGGCAAGAGGGTACAATAGTGATCCAGGAGTGGATCACTAGACAACAGTCAAAATTATCCTTAGAGAGGTAAGGATATGTTTCTCGGTTATGTAAGTGACAAAAAGTTCGTCATAAAGAGTTCCATCGATGCAAGCTTTGACACCGATCTGGATGACTCTAAGTCTCGATCTAGATACATATTGAAAGTGGGAGCAATTAGCTAGAGTAGCTCCGTGCAGAGCATGTAGAAATAGAAATTTGCAAAATACATACGGATCTGATTATTGCAGACCCGTAGACTAAAATTTCTCTCACAAGCAAAACATGATCATGCCTTATTACTCTTGGGTGTTAATCACATAGCTATGTGAACTAGATTATTGACTCTAGTAAACCCTTTGGGTGTTGGTCACATGGCAATGTGAACTATGGGTGTTAATCACATGGTGATGTGAACTATTGGTGTTAAATCGCATGGCAATGTGAACTAGATTATTGACTCTAGTACAAGTGGGAGACTGAAGAGAATATGCCCTAGAGGCAATAATAAAGTTGTTATCTATATTTCCTTATATCTTGATAAGTGTTTATTATTCATGCTAAATTGTATTAACCAGAAACTTAGTACATGTGTGAATACATAGACAAACAGAGTGTCCCTAGTATGCCTCTACTTGACTAGCTCGTTAATCAAAGATGGTTAAATTTCCTGACCATAGACATGTGTTGTCATTTGATGAACGAGATCACATCATTAGAGAATGATGTGATGGACAAGACCCATCCGTTAGCTTAGCATAATGATCGTTAAGTTTTATTGCTATTGCTTTCTTCATGACTTATACATGTTCCTCTGACTATGAGATTATGCAACTCCCGAATACCGCAGGAACACCTTGTGTGCTATCAAACGTCACAACGTAATTGGGTGATTATAAAGATGCTCTACAGGTGTCTCCGAAGGTGTTTGTTGGGTTGGCATAGATCGAGATTAGGATTTGTCACTCTAGTTTTCGGAGAGGTATCTCTGGGCCCTCTCGGTAATGATCATCACTATAAGCCTTGCAAACAATGTGAATAATGAGTTAGTTACGGGATGATGCATTACGGAACGAGTAAAGAGACTTGCCGGTAACGAGATGAACTAGGTATGATGATACCGACGATCGAATTTTGGGCAAGTAACATACCGATGACAAAGGGAACAACGTATGTTGTTACGCGGTTTGATCGATAAAGATCTTCGTAGAATATGTAGGAGCCAATACGAGCATCCAGGTTCCGCTATTGGTTGTTGACCAGAGATGTGTCTCAGTCATCTCTACATAGTTCTCGAACCCGTAGGGTCTGCACGCTTAACGTTCGATGACGATTTATATTATGAGTTATGTGATTTGATGACCGAAGTTTGTTCGGAGTCCTGGATGAGATCACGAACATGATGAGGAGTCTCGAAATGGTCGAGAGGTAAAGATCGATATATTGAAAGGCTATATTCGGACATCGGAAAGGTTCCGAGTGATTGGAGTATTTTTCAGAGTACCGGAGAGTTACGGGAATTCGCCGGGGGAAGTAGTGGGCCTTAATGGGCCATACGAGAAAGGAGAGAAGGGCCTCAAGGGGTGGCCGCGCGCCCCCTCATGGGCTGGTCCGAATTGGACTAGGAGGGGGCGGCGCCCTCCTCCTTCCTCCCCCCTCTTCCTCCTTCCCTTCCTTCTCCTAGTTGGAGGGCGAATCCTACTTGGACCAGGAGTCCAAGTAGGACTCCCCCCTTTGGCGTGCTCCCCCTTGGGCTTCCCCCCTCCTTTATATACGTGGGAAGGGGGCACCCCAAAGACACACAAGTTGATCTTTTAGCCGTGTGCGATGCCCCCTCCATAGAAACACACCTTGGTCATATCGTCGTAGTGCTTAGGTGGAGCCCGGCGCCGGTAACTTCATCATCACCGTCACCACGCCGTCGTGCTGAAGAAACTCTCCCTCGACCTCAACTGGATCAAGAGTTCGAGGGACGTCACCGAGCTGAACGTGTGCAAATTGCGGAGGTGCCGTACATTCGGTACTTGGATCGGTTGGATCACGAAGACGTCCGACTACATCAACCGCGTTACTAAACGCTTCCGCTTTCGGTCTACGAGGGTACGTGGACACACTCTCCCCGCTCGTTGCTATGTTTTTTCTAGATAGATCTTGCGTGATCGTAGGTAATTTTTTTAAAATACTACGTTCCCCAACATATATATATATATATATATATATATATATATATATATATATATAGTATTTTATCAGGGTGGCTTAGTAGTACCGCGTGAAACAATAGGCACAAACTAATATTAAGGCGAAGATAATGAACGTAGAAGACCAAGAGAGGCTGCCATACGATTACATGTGCAATAGAACGGATAATTCCAATACATAATCCGAAGTAGAGGCACGTGTGCGGTGCGTCGTGCGTCAAGGGTTGGAACTGAGGAGGCGAGGATGTTTCCGCTCAAGTGGAACACTCCCTCTGTTCACCAATATAAAATGTTCTTTTGTAAATCGGATGTATATACACATTTTAGTTCGTTTATTATTCACTTATTTTTAGTCTGTACGTTAGTCCATATTGAAATATTCAAAATATCTTATATTTGTGAATGAATGGAGTAGTTGTTTTTCACGCTCCGATAACTTGACATGAACTACCCCCTCCGTTTCTAAATATAAGACTATTAGAGATTTCAATATGGAGTACATACGAATGTATATAAAGTATTTTAGAGTGTAGATTCATTCATTTTGCTCCTTATGTAGTCGGTATTGAAATCTCTAAAAAGGCTTATATTTAGGAATGGACGGAGTAGTTGCTTATGCATGAATTCGGGCTAGACATTTTTGCTGAGGGGTTTGAACAAAATAAAAAGTCTTAGTTTTCGAATTTCAGCACCGAAATCTCCTTGATCACCCCCCAAGTTGGTGCCACCAGAGCTCGGAGAATCGACGGTCGGGGTCACCCATCGACACCGTGACGACAGTGTTGCCATCGTCCGGCTCTCAGCGTCCCCGTCGTCCACACGCCCCCCGGCGCAAAAGTCCAAGGCCGAGCCGTGGACC